CCCGGGATTCTTGGTACAGACGGGTGACCGCACGGGCACGGGAAATGGCGGGGGATCATTCTTTGGAGGTAAGTGCTACCTGATCTACTTCATCATTCTTGCTTTGATTCACTACGTTTCCCCATGTAGAACCGTTCGAGAGCGAACCCCATCCACGTCTCCGATGGACCCACCGCGGCCTCGTAGGCTGCGCAAGCGGGGAAGGAACCAACACGAACGACTCGCAGTTCTTTATCACACTCGGTTCGGTATAACCCAGTCTGCTGACAGCTACTGAGACCGTGCAGATAGGGCGGATGAACTGCAAGGGAAGAACACGCTGTTTGGTCGGGTAGTGGGGGATACGACCTACAGTCCGTACTTTGTCGCCCATGCCGGTACTTTGAATGAACTAATCTCTATCAGATGTGCTCAAGATCGGACAACTCGAGATCGACAGCACCGGCCGGCCCACCTACCCGCCAAAGATAAACACGATCAAAGTCCTCTCCAATCCTTTCGATGACATCGTACCACGCATCACGGCTGCAGAGCGGGAAGGGCAAAATTATCGGGGTCGTGATGATCGCAATCGGGCCGACCGGGATCGGTGTGATCGAGACCGAGACGAGAGAGCTCGGGATGGTCGGGATCGTGGACGAGAGGAAAGAAACAGAGAGGGACGGGAGGGCCGTAGGGGACGGTCTCGAAGTCGGGGTGAGGAGAGGGACCGGGAGAGGGAGAGGGACAAGAGGAGACGAGTGTACTAATGTGGCCCGTTGTGTACGTGGTTCATTCTTTCGATGCATGTAATCTGGGTTCCCGGAGAGGGATTGTACGCTATCCGTGCACAACCTGACGGCTTGATCAGTATGTCAAGTTCAACGTTGCTCGTCGTTGTCACCAACGACAGCGCATTTCGAATCAGTTGGTATGCTTGAAGCTTTATATGTCAGTGGGTTTGTACCGGACGGAGTCATGTGACATTTATGCTCTTTCATTTCTTGTAAACTACACATTCAACCCAATTCTACAGTCAGTGCAACGTACACATCCCGAGTCTGCAGTTCACCAGGCTCTCCACGGCACCCAAACATCAACCACAGTCTTTCCATCCCCTTCACTCGAATCAACGACATAATACCAGGGAAAGCATGCGCTCGTGAGGCACGAATGCTGCCCCACGGCCTGGAGCACTGAGCCCACCTCGAGTTCCTTTCCCTGCTTTCCCTCAGCACGGGTGAGCACCCCGTGTTCCTGGCTTATCCTTCCCAGCCGCCAGTTCTCCCATCCTGGGGTGACGACATCCCCAAATCCGGGGATGGGCCCTCGGTCCTTTGACATCGCCAGCGCGCCGGCGTCACACATCCCCTCACCGCCGTCCCGATCAGGGTAGGAGGAGACGACGGTAGTGAGCACGGTGGCTGCGATCCGCTGCTCACCTATGAGATGGGTAGCAAGCTGCTGCAAGTCTAGGCAAGGGTAGTTCCCGGCGTGGATCTCCAGCTTGCCTTTCAGTGCCAGGTGCTGCGGTTTGAGAGCCGCCGCGTGGGCAGTGGGGGTGGAGCCCACGGAGATGACATACGGTGCCGCTGGCTCGGGGGCGAGGGAGAGCGCAATTGAGCATGCGGCATTAGCAGCGTCGATTTCGTCCTTCAACGTGGAGGAGGCGGCGTCGAGCGAGGTAGACGCGTACGCGTGCCCGGCGTGGCAGTAGAAGCCGTAGATGGAGAGTGCGGGGGAGGCGAGGATGGACTTGATGAGCGCTGGGAGAGAGGGAGCGTTGGGCGTCAGCCCTGCACGCCTGAAAACGTAGCATAACAGTGAATCAGTAGTATCGTATCACAGCTGTGGAACGCACTTGTTGCCAGAGTCGACCTTGACGAACGCCGTCCAGCCCTTGACGCCCTTGAGGTGCATGTACTCTTCCAACCCCTTGACTTGCGCTTCGGTATCGACCATGAGGCGGAGGACAGCGCCATGCTTTTCCAGCTCGACTTTGACAGCTGAGAGGTCGTCCAGTTTCGTAAGTCCGACGGGGAGGCCGTAGAGGATCTGCAGGTGTATGAGCCCATGGGCGTAGTGAGGAAAGAGAGGAACGTACGTCTTTGACAGTGCCGTCAGCGAGGAGACCGCCGTTGATAAGCCCCCACGCCTCTGCTACAGTAGAGACGACCACTGCATCTGTTTTGCCCTCACTACTCTGGAGCATCATCCTCGACCCCTCCACAGTCTGCATCCCACATCCCATCAGCCCATCCTCTACAAGGTCAAAATAATAACTCACCTTATGGGTTTTGACGTGTGCTCTAAAACTCGCTCCCCATCCCTGCAGCACACCTTTATGCATCACCCCGCAGTTGAGTGCGAACACAGCGCGGTCGACTACAAATGCAGGTGTGCGAAGCGCGGTGAGCGGCTTGCCTGCGTACGCTTGGACGAGCCTCTCCTTTGAGGAATAGGCGTACAGGCCATCGAATACTGGTGCTTGTGCCGGAAGAGTCATAACTGTTCAGTTGTTTGCCAGAATGTGCAATGGACGTCAAGAACAGAGAACGACGTTGAGCATTGTATGAAGACAGGAGGTAGCCAGCACTGGCCCAGAGGTCCGGCCGAGTCGAATCGCTTCCTCATCAGTCATTGGTGGAGGTATTAAACCATATGATATGCCTTGTTGACCTTGTCCTATCTCGTATCTCGTGGTGTAATGCATTTGAATGAAATTTGGACATTTATCACCTGGAAACACGGAGCTGAGAGTTGAAGGGATAATCCAAGGGCGAGAAGAGGTATCATATTGTCATTGGTAAAAATAAGAATGCATGCCCACAAAGCCCAAATTTCAGTAGCACATCCCATGGAGATGGACGGGTGAGGAAAGGCAGGGAAGGGGAGAAGAAGGCGCTCACGAACGCGACTGCATCACATAACTCGTTGGGACTTGCTCTCCCTCCCTCCTCACGAGGAACTCTGTGCCTATTCCCAGATCACCTAGCTCACTCTCTATCCTCGTGCTCTCCCGCCTGCTGCCGACGGGCGCGCACAGGTAGGGCGACACGCCGTCGAACTGTGCGAGGAGAGAGAGTATGTTCGCTGCTGATCCACCGCGTTCTCGTGTGACACTCTGTGCACGCAGCTTGTGGCCCTCGTCGGGAA